GATACTGGGTCACTGCGCCCTCGACCTCCTCGGATCCTGAGTAGCTGAGACTACAGGCATGAGCCATAACGCCTGACTAGTTTTTTTGTTTTTTTGGGTTTTTTTTTGTTTTTTTTTGGTGGAGACTTCCTGTATTACCCAGGCTAGTCTCAAACTCCTGGCCTCAAACGATCCTTCTGCCTTAGCCTCTCAAAGTGCAGAGATTACAGGTGTGAGCCACCATGCCCAGCCCAATATTACTGTCTAATCATAGTCCTTGCTCAATTTCACTACCGATTGCCTCAATGATGTCCTTTATAGCTCCCCTCACCCCACTTTTTTTCTTTGTTAATCTAGGATCCAATAAGGATCACCCATTGTGTTTAGTAATTATGTCTCTTTTAATTTTTATTTATTTATTTATTTTTAGACACTCACTCTGTGGCCCAGGCAGGAGTGCAGTGCCACAAAGATGGCCCACTGTAACCTCGACCTCCTGGGCCCAAGGGATCCTCCCGCATAGCTGGGACCACAGGCATCTACTACTGCACCCGAGCTACTCAGGAGCCTACGGGTTTGAGGCCACTTGGCTGATTTTTTTATTTTTCGTAGAGATGGTCTCACTTTGTTGTCTAGGCTAGTCTTGAACTCCTAGCCTCAAGCAATTCTCCTGCCTTAACCTCCCAAAGTGTGGATTTATAGGCATGAGCCACCACACATAGCTTGCTTTTTTTGTTTTTCTTTTGAGACTGCAGTCTTGGTGTGTTGCCCATGCTGACATGGGCTCAGGGGATCCTCCCATCTGAGGCTCCTGAGTAGCTGGAGCTGTGCACCACTGGGCCCAGCTAATCTAGTCTCTTTACTCTCTGATCTGGAACATTTCCTCAGCTTTTCTGTGGCTTTCTTGACATTTGCATTTTTTGTTTGTTTGTTTTGTTTTGAGACAGAGTCTTGCTCTGTCGCCCAGACTGGAGTGCAATGGCACAATCTCGGCTCACTGCAACCTCTGCCTCCTGGGTTCAAGCAGTACTCCTGCCTCAGCCTCCCAAGTAGCTGGGATTACAGGCGCCCACCGCTACGCCCATCTACTTTTTGTATTTTTAGTAGAGACAGAGTTTCGCCATGTTGGCCAGGCTAGTCTCGAACTCCTGACCTCAGGTGATCCGCCCACCTTGGCCTCCCAAAGTGGACATTTGCATTTTTTAAAGAGTAAAGTCCAGTTATTTTTTTTATAATGTCTCTCAACTTGGATTTATCTAATGTTTCCTTGTGATTGGATTCATAGTGTGCATTTGCAGCAGGAATACTACCCTAAGTGAAGTCACGTCCTTGAGTTCTCAGTGTGTCTCATCAGTAGACACAGGTGTTGGCCTGTTCCATTATTGTGATACTTACTGCCATTATATGGTTAAGGTAGTGTCCACTGTAAAGTTGCTATTTTTTTCTTTTGTACTTAATAAGTAATTTGTACAGATACTTTGAGATGATGTGAGTAATAGATGACTTCCAACATATTCCAATGAAACCGTCACATGACCCTTAGAGCCAGGCACGATCAAGTCACAGATTGATAGAGCAAGGCTCAGAGAGATTTTATAAGTAGCTCTTACTAGAGGTCACACAGTAGGTGTTAGTGGGAGAGCCACTTTCTGAGTCCACAGTGAGCTCTTTACCACTGCTCTGTGCTGTCAGACTTTGTTGAAGATGACACAGTGTTGGGGCCCTGGCAGGTACTGATCGGAAGCCAGCTCCCCCACCCATTTGGGCTGACCCTCTATGGAGAGCGCATCTATTGGACTGACTGGCAGACTAAGAGTATACAGAGCGCTGACCGGCTGACAGGGCTGGACCGGGAGACTCTGCAGGAGAACCTGGAGAACCTGATGGACATCCATGTCTTCCACCGCCGCCGGCCCCCAGGTGAGCAGCCCTTGGCTCACATTGGCTTCTCCTTGGCCCTCCTATGCCCTAACCCTCCCCATTGAACGTCCCCTCCTCTCTACCCAGTGTCTACACCATGTGCTATGGAGAATGGCGGCTGTAGCCACCTGTGTCTTAGGTCCCCAAATCCAAGCGGCTTCAGCTGTACCTGCCCCACAGGCATCAACCTGCTGCCTGATGGCAAGACTTGCTCACCAGGTGAGTGAAAGCATCACAGATCTAGATGCAGCCTCTCTGGGAGGGGGCAGTGACTCTCTTCCTTCCTTGCAGATGGGCTCCAATGTGGTCTGAGAAACCATGAGTCCTGCTGCTTCTAGAGGCCCAGGGGAGAGACTCGCGGCTTTTAGAAAAGGGGAGGGGCCTGGGGAGAGGCCCTTGGAAGCAGGTAGAAAGGACTGGAGGCAGGGTCCACCTAGTTCTTATGATGTCTTCATGCATATTAGATAAAGTTGCTCCTTTCTCAAGACACTTTCCTCTCATCTCTTAGTACATTGTCATAATATACTGATTTGGTTGGAATAAGATACTTCTGGCCAGGCACAGTGGCTCACACCTGTAATCCCAGCACTTTGGGAGGCCGAGGCAGACAACTCACTAGAGGTCAGGAGTTCAAGACCAACCTGGCCAACATGGTGAAACCTCGTCTCTACTAAAAACACAAAAATTAACCAGGCACGGTGGCACGTGCCTGTAATCCCAGCTACTTGGGAGGCTGAGGCAGGAGAATCGCTTGAACCCAGGAGGCAGAGGTTGCAGTGAGCAGAGATCACGCCACTACACTCCAGCCTGGGCAACAGAGTGAGACTCTGTCTCAAAAAAATAAATAAAAAATTAAAGACACTTCTAACTGCCTAAAATTGGTATAATGAAAACAGAAATGTATGATATCTACAATGTCATGGTGCCCTCCCCCTTAGATGTGCCACTTTTGTGAGCACACAACCTATGTGACAGCCTTATTGGAGGGTCCCAGAAGCAGTACCTGGCTACCCAGATGTTGGGAGTCAAGGTTTCTCCCTAGGAGATGCTGCAGGGCAGGCTGCACTTGAACTCTAACCTCCCTGGGAATTTGAGTGAGAAAGGAGCTGTGAACTGTGCCTCCCAGGTTGTGAGTAGAGCCCACTGGGGTCCCTTTATTCCCTTTCTTTTTTTCTGTTTCTTAATCTTCATGGTAAAGGGTCCATCAAAGACAGCCACTTTCATAATGTTAATAAAGAGGCATTATTTATGAATATGTGTGAGACCTAATGGTAAGTGCTTTGTGTACATGATCTTTTAACCCTTACAGCCACCCTGTTATTGTCCCCATTTTATAGATAAGAAAACTGAGGCTTAA